TGTTGACATACCTCTTTCATCAAATTACTGTTAAGATTAGCACCATTATCCGTGATGATCACATTTGGGATTCCAAATCGACAGATGATATTTGAGTGAACAAAATCAACCACTGCTTTCTTGGTTACAGACTTGAAAGTTTTAGCCTCAACCCACTTGGTGAAATAATCAATGGCTACCAAAATGAACCTGTGCCCGTTGGATGCTGCTGGCTTAATTGGTTCAATGACATCCATGCCCCAAGCAACGAGGGGCCATGGTGCTGATATAGTGTGCAATTCCGATGGTGGAGAATGAATCAAATCTCCGTGTATATGGCACTGATGACATTTGCGCACAAAACTAATACAATCTCGCTCCATGGTGAGCCAATAATAACCTGCTCGGAGAATTTTCTTCGCCAACACATACCCACTCATATGCGATCCACAAACTCCGGAATGCACTTCGGTCATGACAGCTGTGGCTTGTCTAGCATCTATGCATCTCAACAATCCAAGATCTGGAGTTCTTTTATACAAAACTCCTCCACTGAAGAAACATCCATTTGCTAACCATCGAATAGTTCTCTTTTGATCCCCCATAGCTTGCACCAAATATACCCCCATTTTGATGTACTCCCTGATATCATGAAACCACGGTTCACCATCAAGTTCTTCTTCCACCATGTTACAGTAAGCATGCTGATCTCGGACTTGATATGTAGAGGATCGACATAAGCTTTGTCCTGATGGTGCAACATTGATGCCAAGGTAGCCAAAGCATCGGCCACCTCATTATGGACCCTTGGAATATGCTTGAACTCTACTGATCGAAACCGTTGACAAAGATCATGCAAACATTGTCGGTATGGTATGAGCTTTAAATCCCGTGTTTACCATTCTCCTTGAATCTGGTGCACCAGAAGATCCGAGTCTCCCAAGACCAAGACTTCTTGGAAATCCATGTCTACAGCTAGCCTTAAACCAAAAATGCACGCCTCGTACTCAGCCATATTGTTGGTACAATAGAAACGAAGCTGAGCCATAACAGGATAGAGATGCCATGTTTCAGAAATAAGCACAGCCCCTATTCCAACTCCTTTCATGTTGGCAGCCCCATCAAAGAAAGGTTTCCAACCTGGTTTTTCAATCTGCTCCAGTTCACCGATATACATCACCTTTTCATCGGGAAAATAAGTTCTCAATGGCTCGTACTCTTCATCGACCGGGTTCTCGGCCAAATGATTGGCCAATGCTTGGGCTTTCATCGCGGTCCGAGTCACATAGATGATGTCAAACTCCATGAGCAAAATCTGCCACTTCGCAAGTCTTCCTGTGGGCATAGGCTTTTGAAAGATATACTTCAATGGATCCAAGCGAGAAATGAGGTAAGTAGTGTAGGATGACAAATAATGTTTCAATTTCTGTGCTACCCAAGTTAGGGCACAACATGTCCTCTCAAGGTGAGTGTACTTAGCCTCATAAGATATGAACTTCTTGCTGAGATAGTAGATGGCTTGTTCCTTCCTGCCAGTAATGTCATGCTGACCTAATACACAACCAAATAAATTTTCCAAGACTGTTAAGTAAAGAATCAAGGGTCTCCCTGGTTCCGGTGGAACCAGCACAGGTGGGTTTGACAAGTACCCTTTTATCTTGTCAAATGCTTCTTGACACTCATCAGTCCATTTGACCGCAACATCCTTTTTCAGCAACTTGAAAATTGGCTCACAGGTTGTCGTGAGATGAGCAATAAACCTGCTGATGTAGTTCAACCTCCCTAACAGACTCATCACCTCAGTTTTGTTCCTCGGAGGTGGAAATTCTTGGATAGCTTTGATCTTTTATGGGTCCAACTCAATTCCTTGACGGCTGACTATGATTCCCAACAGCTTTCTAGATGGAACGCCAAATAGGCACTTGGCGGGATTAAGCTTAAGGTTGTACCTGCGAAGTCTCTGGAAAAATTTCCTCAAATCTCCGACGTGGTCGGCCTGCCGCTTTGACTTTATGATCACATCATCCACGTAAACCTCAATTTCCTTATGTATCATATCTTGTAACACAGTAGTCATTGCCCTCATGTAAGTTGCCTTAGTATTTTTCAAACTAAATGGCATTACCCGATAGCAGTAAGTTCCCCATGGCGTGATGAATGTTGTCTTTTCTGCATCTTCCTCATCCATTAAGATCTGATGATACCCTGCATAGCAATCCATAAAAGATACAATCTCAAGCTTAGCGCAATTATCGATCAAAATGTGGATGTTAGGCAGTGGGAAATTATCTTTTGGACTTGCTTTATTGAGATTGCAGTAATCAACGCATACTCTGATCTTGCCGTCCTTCTTTGGTACTGGCACAACATTAGCTAACCAAACGGGATATCGTGTGACCCGAATGACCTTGGCATCCAACTGCTTGGTGATTTCTTTCTTAATCTTCACACTCATGTCAGTTTTGAACTTTCTCAATTTTTGGAATGTATTTCCCCTTTGAAAGTTTTTCGACCAACATCGTGTCAAAAACCTGGTAGACCCACGGCCCCTTGTCATCTTCCACTTCAATGAACGGTACAACGACATTGCTATGAGCGCACAAATTATCTTCGCCGTGCACAACTATTTCCTGTCTATCCCATTCAAATTTGACCATCTGGTGTAGTGTAGATGGGACTGCTTTAGCAGTGTGAATCCAGGGTTGTCCTAACAGCAGATTGTAGGAAACAACTATATCTAACACCTGGAACTCCATCGTGAACTCAACTGGTACTATCGTCAGCTCTAGCACTATATCACCAACTGAATCTTTGCCTCCACCATTAAATTCCCGCACGCATATACTGTTCTTATGAATCCTCTCATCTTCTACTTTCAACTTTCTCAAAGTGGAGAGAAGGCAAATGTTCGCACTAGAACCATTGTCGACCACTACCCGGGTAACCATAGATTCCTCACATTGCACTGTAAGGTAAAGGGCTCTGTTATGCCCAGTACCCTCTATAGGCAATTCATCATCGGAAAATGTGACTCTGTTCACTTCAAAGATTTTGTTCGCTATCTTTTCCAGATGGTTCATTGAGATCTTATCGGGAACATGAGCCTCATTCAGGATTTTCATTAAGGCTCGACAGTGCTCATCTGAGTGGATTAACAATGACAACAGTGAAATCTGAGCACGCATCTTTTTCAATTATTCCACGATAGAATAGTCTTGCATCTTCATCTTTCTCAAAAATTCCTCTGCCTTTGTTCAGTTACGACTTTCTTCACTAGCACTGGGTTATCTTTAGAGTTCTTAGCTTTTCTTAACTCTTCAGGGGCAAAGCATCTCCCTGAACGAGTCAAACCCTGGGTTTCATAGACTTCTTCTTTAACTTCTTTTCCTTTGTAAGTCACTGTCACCCGTTCATAATTCCATGGAATAGCCATGCTGACTATTGGTAACTAGGTTACCAGCTTGATAATGACATGATCTATGTATATGCCCTCCACAATTACGACAGGTTTGTTCGCCACTCCTGGCATAACCACTTTCAAACTTTATTGTTTTTCTGCCACATCACTTGAAGACCCTTTCTTAACTATCATAGATGGTTCACCGTTCTTCTCGCTCGACTTGAGCACTGATATTTCACTTGTTGATTGTTCAATTGGCTTGACCTCACTGGACCAATTATCATGACGGTCTGTGAAGGTTTCTTTGGCTCCCATCCCTTATGCATTATTTCAATCATATTTGTCTCCTGGTGGGTTGGCATCGGATTCCGGTTAATATTGGGCGCCTCTGGAGCTTTAACTTCAATTCTATTAATATCAATGAGCTCCTGGATAACACCTTTTTGGTGCCAGCACTTCTCCGTGTCATGACCCAGAGTACCAGAATAATATTCGCAGCTTACAGAATAATCCAGATTTTTTGGGGGAGGATTTGGCAGTTTCGACTCGATCGGCCTTAGCATATCCAATTGTCTTAGCCTGTGGAATAAACTGGTATATGACTCTCCCAATGGAGTAAAGGTTTTCTTTTTCTGCAACCTCTCACTCTTAAATGCTTGGTTGGGCCGGAAACCTGGTCCAGGAGGGTTTCGGTAGGATCGTGGGGGTGGGTATGTATTTTGTGGAATGGGCGCATGCCATTGTGCATGGGTGGGGGGTTGGTTGTATGTTTGGGCGTGGTGGACAGAAAAATGATGGTCTGGTGGTGGGTAGTAGTGTTGGGGTGGATTATATGGGGTATGGGAGTAAGTTTGGTGGTGGGGTCGAGGCTGATTATAGTGGTGAGATGAGCCCCTAGGTTTGAACCAAGCTCCTGAATCAATCGTCGCCACATCCTCTCTCTTTTTCTTTCCGATTATTCCTCCGGTGCCGCCCTGAATGGCCTGAGTGGTTGCCTTAATAGCAGAATATCTCATGATCTTGTTCGACTTGAGCCCTTCTTCTACCATACCGCCCATCTTTACTACTTCATTGAAGGACTTGCCTATAGCTAATACCAGATGGCCGTAATAAGTAGGTTCTAAGGCCAGCGGAAAATAATCTACCATTTCGCTTTCTTTCATTGGCGGGTCAACCCTCGCTGCCTATTCTCTCCAACGAAAGCCATACTCCCTGAAGCTTTCATTATGCCTTTTCTCAATCTTTATCAAAGACAGACGATCTGGGACAATCTCAAGATTATACTGGAAGTGACAAGCGAATGCTTGGGCTAGATCATCCCATGTGTACCATCTTCCATGATCCTGCCGGGTATACCATTCCAACGCTGAACCACTCAGACTTTGACTGAAATATGCCATTAGAAATTCATCTTTCCCTCCAGCTCCCCTCATTTTGCTATAAAACCCTCTCAAGTGCGCTACTGGATCACCGTGCCCATCGTACAAATCAAACTTGGACATATTAAACCCTGCCGGCAATTGCACATCTGAAAACAGACATAGGTCTTTGTAAGACACACTTACGTGACCTCCCAACCCCCGCATGTCTCTAAATGACTGTTCTAAACTTTTAACTTTCCTTAACATCTCCTCTTGTTCGGGATTTTTGTACGGTTTCTCAGCTTCCACAAGAAGATCGAAGTGTAAGAATAGGGTTCTGGAGCTTTGAAAGTGGGCTCCGGGGGGTAATACTGGTTATCATGAGCTTGGAACAAAGGCTCGCTAGAGGATCTGTAGAATGTAGCGGGAGGGGGCGCCACGAAGATAGCAGTGGCTGGTGGAGAAGGGTATGGAACTGGTTTGGGTGGTGGAGCTGGTAGTGTTTGGGAAGTTGTGCTCTGGTAGTGTTGGTAAATGGGAAAACTCGGGGATGAATCAGTGGCAGGATGATCCTGAGACTGAGCCAGGGGCGGGATGAAGGCAGGGTTGGCCGGGTAAGCTGGTGGTTGCCCTTTTGCCCAGGCCTGGTACATTTCGGCCATCTGTTGCTTCAGCTTATACATCTCTTCTTTCATCGAATTAACATCCAACTCTTCCACTTCTCTTGAAGGATCAATGAAACTTGCATCAAGTTCTTGGTTAGACATGATCAATTCGCCTTTGGACCTGGTGTTTTATGGATAGGTTGCCAGAATGATCAACAAACTAACCACCCGCCTTAGTTCTGAAGCATCAACAACAAACTCGTTAGTGATTAGAGTTTAACAGATTGGTAACCGCATATTTGTGGAATGAAATACACCTAATTAATTAATCATTTCTATCATGTATTTGTTCGATTGCTTGTGTCATCCCGACTTTTCCTTATTTCCATGTGCAACTTCCCTTTTTCTCTATTTTTTTTCTTTTTTTTTCATTCTTGCCTTTCTTTGTTTGACTTCTCTTTGTTTTTTTATTCTCTCATTTCTTTTTCTTATTTTGTTTCCTTCTCACGGTTTCTTATTTTCTTTCCCCTTTTTTTGGTATGGTCGAATCCTATGGAGATTGCCCACGTATCATGACCCCGCATGAATCTAACCGAGCATAGTTCTGGGGTATAAGTGTAAAAATAAGTAATAAAACATTTTTTGGATTTTCAAAAAGCAAATACTTTGATTATAATGACTCAAAAACTAATAGACTCAAAAGAAACTAATAGACTCTAACAGAAAGAAAATACAGACTCAAGTAAAAAAAATCACAAATACATTAATGCCTCAGATGCTCTTGGGACCCGCGGGACATCATTCGGTCTCTCCACGGGCCTATATGCAAGATCCCTTTGAAGCCTCTCCAAGTCACTCATTATCTGTCGGACAAACGTCATCACTACTGTGAGCACGTGATTTTTGTTTCGCACGACAATCGCTCCAAAAAGAAATAAAAAATAATAATTGGCCCTGCTGTACAATTTT